AATCAAACCCTGGTACACTCCAAGGAGTAGACATGTTCAGGGGCAGATCTAGGGGGAGGGTGCAGGGGGTGCGTACCCCCCCTGAGATGACCTGCGGTTTTCTAATACAACTGGTTATTCTGCAAAAAAAATAAACTATGTGGTTTATTGGTGTTGAAGTAGTAGAGCAAGAGACAAGTGCACCCCCTCCTAAAAAAAATCCTGGATCCGCCCCTGATGTTAGCTCAGAAATAGACTTCACTAATAATATTTGAATGGCAGAAACTGCTATAAGCTGGTAAAATCATTACTAGCAACAGTAATTTTCTTCTCATTTGCACTTATTGTAGATCCCACTGTGTTGTTAGCCAGGCATTTGTAGATGAATTCTCCACTGTTTGACAGTGTTCTGATCCACATTCCTGAACTGTCTGTGTCTACAGCAATGCCATTTTCAAGCAACTGATAGGATGTGACTTGTGGATTAGCAGCACCAACTGAGCAAGTGAAGTTCCAATAGCCACCAGGGCAAGTGTTGTTTGCAGTGATATTTGTTGACAATTGTACATTCTCGGGTTTGACTGAAAATAAAACGAATAAAAATTTAAACTTAAAGCAAAATTTTAATAAACTGAATTTGCTCTTTTGGAGAAGAGGTATAAAGTAGTGACATGGAGTCCAAGTGAACTTGCAGTATGTAATGGTGGTGGATCTAGATAAAGTAACCAAAGGCATCAAACTTGTAACTTCATTAAACAAGGAAGAAACTTCCATTTCCCACCCCAGGATCACAACTTAAAAATGTCACTGACCCATCAATGGTGCTTTTGATTCTAGTCATGCAATATTCTAGGTAAAAGTGAAGAACAGCTCCCCTAAAAGTCTGTCGGCCGACTGTCGGTATACTGTCGGCCAACTGTCGGCCGACTGTTGGCCAACTGTTGGCCGACAGTCGGCCGACAGTTTTTTGGGGGAGCTGTTCTTCACTTTTTCCATATTCTCTCTTCCCTTCTTTGTTTAATTACAGTCAAACCCTGATTTACAGACACCCGCTTAATATTGACATCTTGTTATTACGGACAGTTTGCTTTGTCCATTGGGAAACAAACTTTGCCCTTACATTTTCTCTAAATTCCACCTGCTTAATATGGACACCCTGCTCATACAGATCCTTTCTATGGCCACTTCAGTGTCCATATTAATGGAATCGACTGTATTTTGCTCCCACACCGACAAAGCTCCTTCCAGTCTACATTTGGTGTAATAAATAAGATGGCTGAACACAGTTTGATAGGTTGTGGGCTGTTACCATTCATTAGGGTGTAACCAAAACTGGTCGCAGATATAAAAAACTCAAACTTTACACAATGTATTTGTCGTGGTTCAATTTTATCCTTGGTTTATTTTTAATTTTCCTTTGTTTTTGGGCATGGTAATGTAGTACAATGTTTTATCTACTGAAGATTGCAATACTAGGCATTTTATTGCAAAACAGAGGAATGACCTTGAAGACAAACAGATAACTGAGTGAAGCCAGCATCCCATCTACCAGCAAAATAGTCAGATTTTAAAACAAGATGTAGTTGTGGTAAAAGAAAGAATTACAAATGTAATGGCCTTTGCCATTAAGTGAGCCATTAAATAAATCAAACATGCATATGGCTTGAATAAACTGTAACTTGAACTAGTTCAGTGTTGAATAAAAGGTTGTGAAAAGACTTTCCAATATGATTTTGTCTGTCACTCTATGCTGAAACAAACTTTTCATTTGCAAAAAAAATACTGAAAAGCTCTCATTGAAAAAAAACCGTAACCTTTGATTTCCACGGGACAATTGATTGCAAGCATGATCGTGAAGACACTGCAAAATGTAGGAAGTGATGAAAGCTTTCGGTAGCTTGGCACAAGGTTTGTAAAAGTGCCAGAAAAAGGTTAAGAGGGAGCATCCAGCTTACTTTAACAAAGGTGAGATGACATCTTGAATCCTTGATTTTCTGCTGGCACAAAACATTGCTGACATTTTGGACGATCGTTTCCTGGATTTGTCAACAACTGTCTGAGTATGAGCTTAAGGGGTAATAAATAACTGATTTTTTTTTAAATCGTTAGTTACATTCATTGATGGAATTATTTACTTAATTGTTATAATACTATATTTTGTGAATTCTAGAGTGAATGAATGAATTAAGGACACTTTATTTCAGTAGGGTGCACAACTACAGTCACACTATAGTCTCCAGCTTATCACCCTATGAAACTACTAAAATACTAAAATGCTTAAAAACTGAAATACTAAGGAAAAATTAATTTAAATATCAAGTTTAAGACAGCTGAAAATGTTCTGTCAATTCTAAAACCTCAGGCAAGAATTTACTCAAAGTTACACATAGAAACTTAAATAAAATAAATACTTTAAGATAATAAATGAATAAAGTATTAAGTCATATAAAAAGCTAAAAAATTCTGTCCATTTCATTAAAACTGTCAAGCATGAATTTATACACTATATGGCTCAAATCAAAGTAATTTCTTTTGAACTTCTTTACATCAGAAGGGCGGACTAAATCATTGTTGCCGACATTATTCCACAGTTTAACTGCATTGTAAAAGAACATTTGCTTCATGCTATTGGTATGTGGAATAGGAAGGCGAAAAGGCAACCGAGACCTTGTATCATGAGACTTGTGGTATTTCAAAGATAACTGATGAACAGTTTCTCAGGGAGGCAATCCAGTGCACGTCCATCCCGGATTTTTTTGAGCAGAAGTAGTCTTCTTTCAATACAGACATATAGCCACCCAACTTCCAGAAATAGCAGAAGGGAAATGGAGTATCCAGTATATATAATGTGCGCACATCTTTTTTAAACTTTAAAAATCTCATCCAATAATCCTGCATTACAACTTCCCCAAACGGAGACACAGTACTCAAGAATCGGTTTAATACTAGCATTAAATAAAATGATTGCAATATTTAACTGGTAGGAATTTTTTAATGCTAGCTAAAACAGCAACACGCTTTAAGAGTTTTTTCCTGAGATTAGCTATGTGGGATGACAAAGATAAGGAAGGGTCAATATCCAGACCCAAGAAACATTCCACTTGAGTTTGCTCCAGCTGCCTGCCATGCATCCAAACACAGCGAAAGCATACAATCTTCGCAGCGGGAAAGCTTTTAATGTGTTGAGCACCAATAAATATTATATCATGTATTTTGTTTTTTGCGGATGGGCAGCCAGGCCATGATCTTTAGTCCATGTCGACATATTAGAAAGATCCCACTGATGTTTTACCTAAACATTAGTCAGAGTTGAGGTGCTAGCATAGAAAGTACATGTAGCATCATCAGCAAATTATAGGCCATTTCTATTCTTCCAGGTTAAGGGCAGGTCATTGATAAATAGGAGTAAGAGGATAGCGGCCCAAAATTGAGCCCTGAGGAACTACGGAACTTAGTACTTCAGTATCCGATCAGTTTCCTGCAATGTTGACACACTGTCGACAGTCTGACAGGTAGCTTTTGACCCCCTATAGTGCTGATGAGGAGCAACCACATATTTGTAGTTTGGCTACTAACAGGTCGTGATTTACAACATCAAAGGACTTGCGTAAATCTAAAAATATCGCACCAGTGTATAAGCCTTGATCCACTGCCTCAAGCCAGTCATCAACCATTTTAATCAGCGTAGACTCAGTTGAGTGGTGAGGATGAAATCCACATTGTGTTGAAACGATAAGATTAAACAAGCAAAGGTACAGCATTAAAATAGGTAGATATGTGTCTTTCAAGCAGCTTAGAAAATCGAAATTATTGGAAGAACAGAGATCAGACGAAAATTGTTCAGATTAGAAGCTGAGAGCAAAAGGGCAGGTACCAGACTGAATGCTACAATTAAGAACCTTGGTGAGACTTTCAAGAACAGCTGGGGAGATAAGCTTTAGTAAAGGAGCACTTACTGTATCAAGACCCATAGCAACATTTTTAGGGAGTGATTTGATTAATTTATCGAGAGAAATGACATCGAGAAGTGGGATTTCAAAGTTTGCAATAAATGGTTTTCTGTTGTTTACAAAGCTCTCAATGTGTGATAGGTCAGGAGCAGCAGGTTGATTATTGTCAACAACAGATGACACAATAGAGGCAAAATGCTTGTTAAATTGATTTGCTTGATCCCAATAAGCCTTTCAGTCATTTGGCATCAATTTTACCATACCACTGGGACTAAGTTTTTTCAACGCTTCCCACAATAAGCCAGAATTTTGCACGTTTCTTTCAAGTTCGTTTTTGATTGCCACAGACTTGGCCTTACTTACCATATGCACAACCATTGTTCTGGCCTAATTATAAGTAGCTCTTGTAATTTTACAAAGATCAAGTAGTTTTTTGATCACTTATAAGTTCCTGAATTTCATTTGTTAGCCAAGAAGCTTTATCAGGCGATTTGACTTGTTTCTTTTTCACTGGTGCATGTGTGTCAACAAAATCAAGTACAAGTTTAGTCCACTGGTGTTCAGCATTTCATCTGGGTCATTACTGTAGGTGTCGAGTATGCTCCAGAGTATTCTATTCAAGTCAGCAATAAAAGCATTGGTGTCAACTTTTTTCATGGAGCAAAAAGAAATCCAGACATGTTGGTCACCTTTTCTGAATCTCAAATTTGCATTTTGTTTGCACACTAAGACTGTTAGATTGTGATCGCAAAGACCAAAGCTAGGAACTTAAGTACAAAGAACATGTTCAGGACGTGTACAATAAGGGGGTTCGAGAAGGGTTTTTGATTGGTCAGCAATACGTGTTGGTTTATCAGTCATCTGATGTAGACCAAAAATTTCCATTAAATGTTTCAAACGTCTTGAGCTGGAGTAGTTCCGCAGTAGCAGATCAATATCAAAATCCCCAACAAAGTGTGTTTCATTATTAGCTCCAGTAGAAATTCGCTCAACTGACTACGGAAGGTCTTCGAGAAAAGCTCCGCTGGTATTTGGTGGATGATACAGACAAGACAGACAGAAGGAAGCCCATCAATGTTGCTTAAGTTTGAGACATATTTCTTCTAATTCATCTGATTCCAAATCACGTCTCGGATTCCCCGCTAGACCATCACAAGCATGAATAATAACTCCACCATCAGCAAAGGGCCTTGACTGAACGTTAGACTTTCGGCTGCTATGGAAAAGATTGTAACCAGGAACAGTGAGTTCAACATCATTCCATGTTTCACCTAGCCACGTCTCAGTAAGAGCTAAGATGTCAATAGAGCACTTCAACAATAAAATCCTGATAAAATCTGGTTCATTTCTAAGTGAACATACATTTATATGCATGATCCAGAGGCCGCCTTTAGTTGGTAAACTAACAGCAATGACAGGATCAAAGTCGCTACGTTGCTCGACAAGGAATGAAGCGATCATCGAACTAGCACCAGCTAGACTTTCAGAGGAGCTCAGACCCGGATTTAAGGCAATATCCATGAAGATGGTTATATCTTGAGGGAGATCGATATCGTGTCCTGGAACAACAAGGCTGGTGTAACCACGCGGGGACCACATTAATAACATGGAGTATGCGATCTGTGAAAGCCATATACGGTGCCAAATCCAGTCATCTTGTCGGAAGTTGAGACCCCAAAGTTTACATGACAGCAAAATGATGTAGATCTATCTCCGTCAGCAAACAATTGGCCATAGGCGGAACAGTTAATATTTGAGAATCTGGTCAAAGGATATTGCTACACTAAACATATATAACAGCCTGCAACCATTTTTCACACCCGCTGAAAAAAGGCTTTGTGAGCAAAAACAAGGTTTTAAAGCTCGGCCACTGTTCTAAGTCTCTTGTGAACTTAATAGCAACTAATAATTCATATGATATTCAAAATGGCTCTATTAATCTATGAAGGAATCTTTTTGTAACTTAGAACTGCTTCATACATTATAATCAGCAGTTTACTGCAATACTGTGTTTTCTTTTAGTTTGTCATTACGTGACCTTTGTTCGGCTGAATCGAACAAGAGGCTAATTTTTGCCCGATATTCATTTCAAACCTTTCATTTTTTTCAAAACTGTCATTTTTCCTGTTTACTGTAACTCATAATTCATTAATCCAATCATAATAACTATAGAGATAAAATACACAAGAAACTTGAGTAATGTTTTGAATCAAAATATGAACTTGACAAAACGAGCAAGGTTTGCAAATTCACCGTAAGTATCGTAGACAATGTATGCTTACTGCAGCAACATAAATAGAGCACAATCAAAATGCTGCAATTAATCGTCAAACTGCCATACAGATCCAATTTCAGGAACATTTGTTACTTTTTCATCAGTTGCTGAAAAACTGGCAGTTGGGGACACACTTTAATGGCCATTGCTGTTGTAGAGAGGTGGTTGTTGTGGAAAGGTGGCCGCTAGTGGGGGTTTGACTGTACCTTTATTTATAAGTTAACTGATATTTAACAATGTCGCTAATTCCTTGGTGGAACATACCGAAGTTGAATGTGGTACGCTTTTTAAAATGATAAAATATCACATAAGCTTAAACATGGTTAGGTGGAAAATGAGGAGTGCAGAGTGTGGAAAATGCAGGGTGTGCAAAATGCGGGGTGTGGAAAGAGCGGAGTGTGGAAAATGTGGAGTGCGGAAGAAAAAATAAATAAATGAAAATGTGTGTGAAACATTTATCGCACTGAATGATTTACATTCTTTGGAAGATGATTTACACCAATATAATTTAATTTGATGATCAGTAAACAAGAATTGCCATGTGTCAAGTAAATGAAAGCAATCATGACTAAATTTTTAGCACTAAATAGGTTAATAAAAAATGAACTCACTGCACGCTAAAGCTACCAATACCATACTACCTAGCCATGTCAAATACAGAATATGCAATGCTGCAATTTCCTTTTTCATTGAAACAAGAGTCGCCGCAAAGCAATTTTAACAGGGCTGCCCAGCGGCGATTTTTTCTGAAGGGAGGGGGCTCCTGTACGCACTCACGCTACCATAAAACCTTGTTGCCGACCATTGCATGACATAAAATGTCACTTGAAAGTGAAATATAAACTCATGAATTTGAACATTGCACCCTTTTGGAACACTTTGAATTCATAACAAGAAAAATGAATACCATTGTTAAGTCTGGGCTCTATAGTACCTTTTAAATTCCACCATTATGAATTAAAATTAGAACGTTAGTCATTCTAAGCATGAAAGCATTATATTTATGGACCCCTCCTCCAATCCCTCTGCACCTTAAAATATAGTGTGACAGTATAACAGCACTATTTTGACCTAACCAGAAATACGAAAAATTATCATTCTACTGGTCATAAAATGCGGCAGTTAACAAGCAGTATATTTCTCAATTTTGGTTCTTAAAACTTACAAAGAAAATTACATTTCACTTTTGTTTTTGTCTAATATTGCCTTTAAAGCCTTTTGTTCAACTGAATAAACATAATTTCATTTTTCCACCCAACCCTCATGCACGTTAGTTCCCGCCATCGCGACTTACTGTGTTTAGTTACCTACATTTATTTGTCAAACCTGGCCCAGGCAGTCAAGAAAAATGAGTTCTTGTTGAATTTTTTAACGTTTGGGGGTCATTTATGTGATACCCTTCGAGCAGAGGCTACATTTTGCACTGTGTGAGCTGACGTGTGAAAAGTAGCCTCTGCCAACAACCGTCCAATTCTCTATCGTGCATGTGCAAAATTCGTCATGCAATTTGCAAGCGAAATTAATCGTCAGGTCTTTTGTCAAATGGCAAGAGTTTCTCAGGAATAAAAATTGCTACAACTCTGATCTGCTACGCAAGACTCACGCACTGCTCTAAACCGGTCCATAATGGGAAAAAACCTGTTTTTTAAAATTTATTTGTCCAGATTTCTGGACGGATTTGAACGGTTTGTTGGCAGAGGCTACTTTTCGACGATCATGGTTCACACAGCGAAAATGTAGCCTCTGCTCGCAGGGTATTTATGTAAGTTTTAACAAAAAGAAACTTGTACAGGCCATGGGCATTGCAGCACTTGCATGTGAGCAAATTGCATGCAATATGGCAGATTTCCAAGCAAAAAATTTGCGCGAGTTCTTACATGCAGCCTTTTTACATGCAAATTTGCATGTACTTTTATGGTGACCGATTTTGCTTGTTACAACTACACCCAGGCTCCTTGAATTTCTTTACAACAGCAAATGGCAGGAGCCCATAAATTAGAAACCAACACTGTGGAAAACATATCTTTTTGCAGTGAAAAAGAAACAACTTACTATACATTTCATCTTTTCAACTTTCCCTTACTACGAACATCATGTTTGTAAATCAACGATTCATGTTATGTAAATTCCTTGGCTGTTGGATATAGTGGGATTTCGATTTACGCTATGTAAACTTGTTACTTGCCATACCAACTGTTGTTTTGAAATGAATTCAATGTTTCGGAGTTCAGTACACTGTTCATTTTTCTGACTTGTTATGCCCTTAAAACATGGTTTGAGTTATCGAGGGTACAATTATAGAGAAATGATCTGAAGGGAAACAAAAGTTACTTTGAGTTAGCCAGGGTAAAATTACAGTACAGATGTCTTTGTATGAAGGAAATCCAGCAGAAATTGACTTAAGTAAGCGCGATGTTCGAGTTAGCAAGGTTCAAGCAAAGTAGACATTCTCCTAAAGCAATGTGACTGAATGACCACAGCTTTGCAAGCTAAAAGAAATTTAAATTCAGCCAAAATAATACGCCATTTTAGCCTATTTTGGACGTACATTGCAGGAAGGAGAAAGGAGTTTGCTACAGAAGAAAATAACTCAAAGCAGTGAACTAAACAAAAGTAGTAGGTGAAACGTTGTAAACAAAATACATGTAGAAGCAAACCGTCACCAAAACATCGATAATTTTAACTTTGAAGTTTTAAGAGATATAAATTACGGCATCATAGTACAGAGTGGTTGGTCCATTGAAATAGCTGCAAATTGAGAACTGAAACTAATTTTGGTTGAAAGCTTTTTATTTAAGTTGAAATTCTACACTTTTCCAAACAAACAACCAAAAGAGGTTAGGAAATGTTAGGAGGTAGCAAACGGTACAACGTTTACATAGTGAAATTGAATCATCTCCTGGTTATCTTTAATCTTTACTCAAGGTAATTGCCAATAGTGCTTATGCTCATCCGGCAATGGAGTGGCCAGCAGTCACTCAAATACATGGTATGAAATTACAATGAAACATTTACATGGCACTGAATTACAGGGCATGAAAATAAATGATGTGATTAAGTAAATATGTTAAAGTAGTGGACACTCTTCGGATAAATTCTGGATAAGATGCCGAACTAACAACATCAGCTGATAATACATTCCATGCAGGGATCGATCTCACATAGAAAGAGTGCTTGTAAGCGTCGACTGAAGAGGAAGGGAGCCTGATCTTAAAGTCGTGACTCGCCCTTGTACGGCCATACATGGGCATTGAGGTAAGGGCATAGGGAAGTGAGATGTTGACTTGACCTCTAGGTATCTTTCAAACCATGCCGAGATCGCATATCCTGTGCCTTGACTGCAGTGAAGGCCACATCAAATCGGTAAGCATAGATGAAACAGTACTATATAGCGGCTGTAATAATTGCTGTTAACAAAACGTGCTGCACGGCATCGAATGGATTCAATATAGTCAATCCCTTTATTTGTATGCGGAGACCAAACAACAGTACGGCATATTCAACAATCGGATACACTAAAGATAGGTATGAGCCTGCCTTAACCGATTGATCGCACAATGAGAGATTCCTTTGAAGGATCCCCAAAACTCTCATAGCCTTCTTTTTAGCTTCATCACACTGCAACTGCAAACTCAACGACGAGGTAATGTTGGTGGCAAGCACTGTTGAGCTGTGCATAACAAAGGGAGTAACTAAACTGGGAAGGAGAATTCTTCAAAGTGACGGACATGACAAAACATTTTGTAGGAGCAAATTTCATCTGCCATGTGTAGGCCCACTTCTCTAGCTGATTGAGGTCTCACTGGAGGGCAAAATTGTCGCTTACGGAATTAATCGGACGGTAAAGAACACAGTCGTTGGCGAACACCTTAATACCAGATGTGGTAGTGTTTGTAGGTAGATCATTAGTAAACACCAAAAAGAGAATGGTACCCAATACGGTTCCCTGAGGCACCCTAGAAACTACAGGTGACCATGAAGAAGCAGAACCATTAATCACAACTCACTAGTTACACCCAGCTAAAAAGCTTCAAAGCCACATGTTAGTCTTATCACGAATTCCATAGTAGTCAGCCTTAAGTAAAAGCCGTTCACGGAGGACGGAGTCAAAAGCTTTGGCGAAGTCTAGGAACACAACATCAACCTAACCATGGACGTTTAGGACTGATGCCCAATTCGTAAATCACGGTAATGAGTTGAGTCTCACATGACAGACCCTGCTGGAAACCATGTTGTTGCGGAGAGATGATGTGATTTGTAGAAAGGTGTCGTGATGCTTGGCAGGATACTATATGTTCCGTGACTTTAGATGTAAGGGATGTTAGAGACACCAGTCTGTACGTAGTTTTTGGGATCTGCTTTGCAGCCCTTTTTAATTATAGCTCAAATATTGGCTAGTTTCCAAGCATATAGCAGAGTTCCCGAATTGTAAGATTGTTGAAAGAGGGAGGAGAGTACAACGGTGAGCTCTGAAGCGGCATCACGGAGGATTCTAGCTGGAATCAAGTCTGGTCCACTAGCTTTATCGATCTTAATTTTCAGAAGTTGTTTCTTGACGCAGTCTGCCGAGAATTTTATATCAGGCATACACTTGTAAGGCAAGGGGGGCATTAGTGGTAAGTTGCTGAGATCTTCTTCTATGAACACACTGTCATATTGTTCTCGTAAAGCCTCAGCTTTGGTACTGCCTGAAGAGCATACACGGTTGTTAGATACTAAGGCCAGGACTCCCAGGGATTCTGTTCTAAGCAACTTTTCGTATGACCTAGCAAGTTTGATTCCATTACACCCAGCATTCTCAGGCTCAGTCTCCAGAGACTCTGGGGTTATGCCACCCATAACATCATTGAGGTACTTATCGTGGGCAACACGTAGGTGTTTGGTTGTGATATTGCAAAGTCGCTTGTATTTGGTAAGGTGAACGGTAGACTTCGCAGTTATCTGCGAAGTCTACAAATGAACATTCAAACAAAGTACATGTCAGTATTATTTGCATTCACTCACAACCACTAAATTATTCTGAACAACACATTTCAGGGCCTTTAATAAAATCTGGATCAGACAGGATCGGCTCAACCTGTGAATGCTATCAGTAACCTTTGGCATTTAGTGAAACACAGGGAGTTGATCCTATTGGACCAGGGGCCTGTTTCTTGAAAGTCCACTCAGTAGCTTTTCAGACCCGAAAAACTGTTTTATGTTTGCCGTGTTTGCTTTTTTTTTTGGCATTAAAGATCAAAGTGTCAATAATTTTGACAATTATACAATGAAACTATCAGTTAACGAAGCAAAGTTGGCCGGTTTGTGAGCTGTGAACTGTGCTAAAATTCAACAAGTTTTGATTTTAAAATTTGCCTTCGGGCCCGAAAAGTTACTACGGCTTTTGAGAAACAGACCCCAGATCTGGGTATTGTTCAGTGGTGGCTACATTTCAGTGGAAACATTTCGCTGCTGTGATAATTGTTTAGCAACTATGGCATGCATAGGATTCTTGAACTCTTGCTAACTGTGATAATTTTAAAACATGAGCAGAAGCTTGCCGCTCGTCCCTGATGCACGCTATTGGTCTGTTGTGGATTTGATAATTATCATAGGGTAATCATAAAGATAATGTAGCTAGACAAAAGTCATATGAATTGGAATTTGTTTAGTAAACTGAACTCCAAAATAGCCCTAACCAACAATTTTGGAGAATTGGCCGTTGAAAAGAGAAGGTGATTGTTATACCTGACAACTTTTTCTGAGATATAAGCGTGAGATTTTTGTCCTGGGAATGCTGGGATTTTTGAAGACGACACGATCATTTAAGAGAAGATTCCCGACGAAGTCCGAAGTCTTCCGAAGACGTCCGAAGTCTGCCGAAGGCGAAGTTATCGAGAAAACGCTTATCCACAAAATCAGAGATTGCGAGGAAGGTATTGTCATTTATTCATTTTACACATGGTTTTCGTTCCTTACATGGGTCTGAATTAACATATTTTTGGAAATTGTGTCAAGCAAGATGGCAACAACTCACATTTTTCAATCAGGTGGGAGAAATTGGCCCGCAAGCGTGCGCCGGCGTGAGATCGAAGTTTTCAACCCACAGGAGTGAGACTCACGCCTAAGGCGTGAGAGTTGGCAGGTATAGTGATCGTTGCTGAGAATAACCGTTAAGCTTTTTTTCAAATGCTTGCAGTCCGCCTTTTAGGGGTATAGTAAGGTACCTCGCAAAACATTTGGCCTGCAGATCTCGAAATCACGGCATTCAAAATAAGTATCTTGCTAAAAACAGACTTGTCTAAGAGTCTCAAACTTTAATAATTTGGTTCTCGGAATCTCTCCAGATTTTTTTAAAAGTTCGCACAAATGTTGGCCATATATAGTGCATTGAAAAACGGCAATAAAAAGGTGGGGTCACTGTGCTTGTTTTCACCCCGAGTGCCTGTAATTTTGAGTCCTTTTTCCTCAGCTAGTCACGCACAAAATGTTTGAACTTAAACAATCAACAAAAATTATAGCAAAAACTCTCAATCTCACTAGAAACCTTAAGCCTGTTTGTTTTTCGGGGCTTTATTTTATCAGTTAAGTAACCTCAAATTACCCGACCTTGAAAAAATGCAGAGAAATGGACAGTTTTAACTAAGCCTATAGCTTTCCCGATTATGCCAGTAAAACTGGCATTTTATGTTCCTAGCAATTCTCGTTTTACACCAAAAAAATGTTCAAATTATACTCGATTCACAAAATAATGCTACTTTGGTTTCAAAAATGCTTTGTTTTATTTCAGGCAAAACGTACAAACTCAGGCATTATGATTGCATGCTAATCATCACCTGAATAAAGTGAAAAATGCTTAATTGTTTGTTTATAAAACTTATGATACAGCTACACCTTGTCCAATGATAAACAGTTAATCAATGTTCAAAGTCCTTGGTGCTTGTTGTACTGTGACATGACGCTTGCCTGGAGGTAGACAAGAAGAGCAAAATTCTGTTGCTCGTTGAAGGACACTCTTAGTGTACTCTTTCTGCCGAAGCAGACGATGGTTGGACATGGAGAACTTGCTTCACTGCTGAAGCCCTATCGTTGAAGGGTTGATCTATCTTCTACATCAGAATTTCCTTCTACCATTAAGCTGCATGTTTTGAGAAGATATTGTGGCACTGGCTGATGCCACCTTGTTTGAGCAAGCGCTTGAACGACCTCTAAAAGTTAACCGCTGACCAGCTAGGTTAGGTCCAGACTTCTTTCAAGTCAAAAGCAAAAATCATTACAAAAGCAAATCATCACAATGCTTTTGAAATTTAACATTTAGCATTTAAAACCTTTTGAGTGCTGAAATCGAGATCAAAGTTATGCAAAATGCTAAATAATGCTTGCAATTCCAGAAAAATTGGGAGGGGGTGTGCAGCACCCTTCTTGAAACCCTTACCCTATTTCAGACCAAAATCTGTGATTTTCCCTACCCTATTTCAGACCTGAAGTCCTGGAGCCCGGCGTGTGACTGGAGCGCATGACAAGCTGTTACAGCACGTACACGGTAGTTGGCGTAAACATTAAAAACGAAATGGTCTTACTGCCAAATGATGAAGAAGTAGCTAATTCTTCCCTTTGGCACGGCACATACCTATATAGCCCATATAAAGGACTACCTTCCCGGGGCGAAAAACGCGTTGCAGATTATGAGTCTTGCTGCTTATGCAAGCAAGACTAATAGGTGTATTTTGTTCGAAATCACTCAAATGCAGTCGGTAAATCGACGAATTAAGGCTGCTTTGTTTGGGTTTGCTTTATGCTTCAGTCATGAAAGCACTAAATGTAAGACCCATGGTTCGCCAAGAGTTTTGATTTCATCATCAGATTAGTGCACTAGAACTACAAGGTACTATGGCAATTTCTTCATTATTAGCAAGACGAATTTAATTAAGCTTTATTAGTTGGCTTGAAAACAGACTGGTATGGGCCAGGTTGAATAATTAATCTTGTAAAATTGTATGCTTCCTCCTGATACGATAGCCTAAAACAGTTGCCAGGTACTATAAGAAAAGTTTAGTGGGTCAGCTTTATTGGGATTTAGCTCTCTGTTGGCAACCTCTTTGCATTGTTTTACAATCTGTATATTTATCACACAAAGTAAAAAATAAAGATATTGATACATGAGTGAGTTGTGTGCTATTTATTAATAATATTGAGGACTTTCTCCAGGAATCTTTATTCTTAAATAACGAGCTAATGAAGAGATACAGCAAACTAGTGTTACATTTTTCTTGCTTGGTATAGAGTACCGATATTAAAAATGTCTCACTCACTCAATTGCTCAATGGAAATACAGTACCGTTCAAAAGTAAGTTGGCAGTCCGTTGCAAGTCTCGATTCTCAACTCGATTCACGATTCTCGATTCCTGCGCAAAACAAGAATCGAGAATCGAACACAAAGTATCGAGAATTGAGTCTCACAGGCCGGAAAACAAAAGATTCACCCATGACTAATTTGTCAATAACTTTACAATGACATTTGGCCGTAACACAACTCAGCATGGTTATATTCATGCAAGTAGCTGTATGCTCGAAACAAGATCAATTCAAGTTATAAAGCGAATGTTTCTTAAAGGACATCTGTATCAAGCTTCATTTCCTCAAATAAAGCTTCAAATGCCTGCTCCAAATGCATACAAACAGTGCATACTCACGTACAA